CTGTGTGGTTATTTTGCTCGTAACGGCTGATAGACTGGGGGAATGTCGATGTGTTGATTGATCGATTTTTGTTCTCGCTCCCGTTTTGTTCTTGCGTGAGCAAGTATTTGAACATTGTCCCAATTGAACTTGTGTCCTTCTCTCTCTTCGTGAATTGAAACAAGTGACATTGGGTCATGTCTTCTGCTGGCAACCTTGTGTTCGTGTATTCTGGCAGCAAATTCTCTTCCTGTTTGGCCAACATAGTGTTTTTCGCAGTCATTGCACTTAAGTTTGTAGACCACCTTAGTCTTGTTCAATGCAACCAAGCTTCCCTTTGGTTTAGAGAGGAGGAGAACAACAAACTGGCGTTCCTAGATGTGCTCGTCACAAGGACACCAAACGGCCAACTGCAAACTGAAGTGTACAGGAAAGAAAGGTCTACAGACCAGATTCGCAATTACCACAGCAACCATCCAAACTGCCACAAGCGGAGCTGAGTTCGAACCCTATTCAAGCGCATGGAGACATATTGCAACGCAACAGAGACGAAGAAAAAAGAGGAACGAAGACTCTACGAGATAGTCCGAAGTAACGACTACCCGAGGAATTTCATATGGAGGTGCTTACGAGACCACCGACAAGCTGACTCGTCAACACAACCAGAACAGAGGAAGATTACGCTGTCGTATACCAGAAACGTGGCGGAGATGACTGCACGACATCTCGGGCAACATGGAATTACAGTTGCCTTCAAGCCTACAAACACGTTGAGAAGAGCTCTCTCGAAGCCAAATAGAAAGCTGAATACAGTGAAGAACGTTAAGGTGGTCTACAAACTTAAGTGCAATGACTGCGAAAAACACTATGTTGGCCAAACAGGAAGAGAATTTGCTGCCAGAATACACGAACACAAGGTTGCCAGCAGAAGACATGACCCAATGTCACTTGTTTCAATTCACGAAGAGAGAGAAGGACACAAGTTCAATTGGGACAATGTTCAAATACTTGCTCACGCAAGAACAAAACGGGAGCGAGAACAAAAATCGATCAATCAACACATCGACATTCCCCCAGTCTATCAGCCGTTACGAGCAAAATAACCACACAG